TAGAGATGAGGTCTCGCCTGCCCAGGCGGGTCTCGAACCCGCGGGCTCAGGCAATCCACTCACCTCAGCCTCCCAAAGGCGCGGGATTACAGGCTGGGCCACCGAGCCCGGCTCTCCCTTCTGTTTTTAACTGGTTTTCCCTTCATGAAGGAGCACATGGCTCTCCAAAGCATAGGCTAAGTCTGGTTAGATCAAGGAGCAGGATTAGACAATATACAGCAAAATAAGGTCCAGCTGGATTACAGTTAAACTGAAAGTATTAAAAAAAGTATTCATAGCACTAGAAAATAAAGACCTTTAAAGCAATACACCAAGAGCAGAGACCACAGAGAAAAAGATTGATATTTTTGATTCCTTATATACCTGAGGCTTTGGTATGCAAATAACTAGAAGTAAAGTTACAGACTGGGGGACATAATCTTAAAACCTTATAGCCATGAGAGGCTACTGTCCCTTGTATAGCTCTTCAAAGAGTGGTCTCCTCTTAGCCCCACCACCCTCGATGCAGCTTGGCTCCTGAGCCTGGGGGGGCCATGGCTCCCGCCCACTCCCAGCCCGACCACCAAGACCGGCAGCGGCAGCCTCACCTGGGAACTTGCTAGAAACGCAGAATCGGCCCCACCTGAGACCTGCCGAATTAACCTGCACTTTCACAAGACCTCAGGATTCCTGCAGGACAGCGCAACACCAACCCAGACAGAGCAACAGGGGCTGACATAAGCCCAGATTTCCAATGTAACTGGGGGGAATTGCACTTTCCAAAACAATTCCCTTTGTTACGGTTCACCACATTCTGTTCCCTGGCTGGGTACAGGGCGTTTGAAAAGATTACATTTCTCAAAGGACTGGTTTATATAGAATTTCTCACAACCCCATCTGCGGAATAAGGTGGGGTCTATCACACCAAGACCTGCAATCAATTATTACTTTGGAGACCGTTCGTATTTTTTTTTTTTTTTTTTTGAGTTAGGGTCTCACTCTGTCGCCCAGACCGGAGTGCAGCGGCCGCTCCCGGCCACCGCAGCCTCGAC